ATTATGGTTTTAATCCTACAACTTTGCCGAGTTCTTTTTCATCTACAGGAGTGCCTAGTGTTGACAGCACTCTTAACAATATGAAAGAAACTTGGTTAGGGGTTAAACATATCTTAACTCAAAAGACTCAGATTCAAAAGAATAATGCGGATAGACGACGCAGGGCTGCTCCTACGTTCGTAGCAGGTGACAGGGTTCGGTTGAGTACCCGCAACATAAAGTTAAAGGTACCCTCTATGAAATTCGCTCCCCGTTTCATAGGCCCGTTTCAAATACTCAAACGCATCAATCCAGTCTGTTATAGTTTGAGATTGCCAAATACTATGAAGATTCCTAACGCTTTTCATGTTTCCCTTCTCAAAATCATTTGTAATCGTTACACTCAGAATATCTCCACTCCTCCTGCCGCACCCGTGGAGGATCATGTTGAATACGAAGTTAAATCTATATTGGATTCCCGGGGTAAATTGCAATATCTCCTTGATTGGAAAGGGTACGGTCCCGAAGAATGGTCATGGGTGGATGCATCTGATGTTCACGCCCCTCGTCTGGTTCATCTGTTTGAGAGGCGGCGCTCTTGTGGGTCTGGTTCCGCCCGCCCTGTGGGCGGTTCTCGAGGGTGGGTACTGTAACGGGCGCTTACCTTTCCCCGCCGGTCCCGCGCAGCGCCGGGTCCTCCTCCGATACTTCCGGGGGGCGGCTCAGCTCTTCTGACGCAGGCCTCTCGGAACACGCCCACCTTTATGACACGGCGCATGCGCGCCGACGTCAGAAAGAAAATGCCGCCAAAATTCAAACGTGGCCACACTCCCGGACTTTTTGGGGGTGTGGCTACAAAATTAAAGCCAAAGAACCCACACTATAAACGGGCTATCATGACACTTGTCAGATGCCCTAGTGTGGTTCTTGTTTAAAGTCCCCTGGTGCTATTGTCTCTGTTTGTCCTTCTTGGTAATTGACCCTTGGCTATCTCTCCGACTATTCTGTTTTCTGGTTTCCCGTTACTTGGCTTGGATAATCGTGTGCCCGTCTTCCGTATTCCCTTGACCTCTGGCTATTCCTTTGACTATTCTCAGACGCTAGTCCGGCCATTCTAAGGTCCGGTAACCGTCTTTCTGTGGGTTTCACGCTGTGTGAAGGGGTCACTGTTGTGACATTGGTCACTGTCGTGACATTACACTAGGGCCATGGACCCTGCAGGTGTTAACCCTCTCGGGCCAGTACCTGATGACCGGTTTGAAGAACTGGACCATCGCATGGACCAGTTCGCTATTGCGGTACAAACCTTGCTAGCTCGTACTGCCCATCTCCAACCGGAAGAGCAAATCCCAGTACTCAGACCTCAGGAACAACCCATGGAAATGGTTACTATGGGTACTCCTAATCATGCTACCTTGCCTCTCCATTATGGGGGTGATCCTAAAGGTTGTGTGGGTTCTGTGGGTTTCACGCTGTGTGAAGGGGTCACTGTTGTGACATTGGTCACTGTCGTGACATGTGGTCCCCTGTCACTTTCTCCTCATTCAGTCGTAAACCCTTTTAGAGGAGTTTAACACTAAGGTCCCTGGCAATCCAGGTGTGGCCCCTTCTGGAGGTGTGGCTAAGGCAGAGATCACACACTTCCTTGCAGTCATACCCTTCATACAGTCAGTTGGAGCTTTGATAGGTCTCAGCTAATCACAACTTCCCATTGCTGCTCAGGTTAATACTTCCTCATTAACCAAAGCAGCACAGGTGGGATGGGCTGCTGGAGACTCTCATTTAGCATTACAATATAAAACATTAACTATCACCCTAATATTGGTGGCCACCAGTTTCCCGGATAGACATGTGTTGTCCATTGGGCACGTATAGTGCCTACTGTTTTTGTAAATATATTGTTCTTTTTCCTGATTTATATCAGAACTATCTCCCTCCCGCATTTTATTTCCCTACCTCTCTCTTCCTTTCACGCCACTCCAGACTTCTTCAGGAATTATGGTCATTATGGTCATTTCGGGCTTCGGAAATGACGATACAGGAGATGCACTTCAAGCACGCTTTCGAACCAACACTATGACAGAAGGTTCCCCAATGCATACTTCTCATCACATGCACAAGGCAAGAGGGCTGGGGTGCCGATTCTCTTTTCGAACTTATCAACCAGAAGACAGAGCCTGACAGCAGTTATCTCTTTCTAAAGGGACGCATCAACTCACACCTCTACATTTTCACCACACTATACGTCCCCAACTTCCATCAGCACATATTCCTCACGAAGACACTGAGACTTCTGACAGACTTCTCGGACAGGGTGACTTCAACGTGTTCATAGACCCCTCTATGTACACATCTCGGGGACACAGTGCGATCGCCTATTCCCGTATTGGATGTATCCGGAAACCCTTTAGGAACCTACATTTAGTAGATTGCTGGAGAACACTCCATCCAGAGATGAAGGACTACACATTATTCAACTGTTCATAAATCTTACACTAGAACAGACTACCTCTTCCTTCCCCAAGCATACCTAACATTAGTTCAAAACTCGACAATGGGAAACATAACATGATTGGACCCACCCCGATGTTGCTCAGGATGCCCCCCCCCCTTTAAACCAACGGAACACATATGGCGACTGAATGAATCAATGTTCCTGGAAGAAGAAGTATGCACTATTATACGGGAGGCACTAACAGCCTACTTTCACGGAAATTCCAACCCGGACCACCTTATACGAAATGATCTGCACACTACAGAAGGTGGGCTTTGGAAAACCCTTCTGTAAGTGGATACGAGCTCTCTAATCCGAACCAGCTGCCAGACAGTGAGTCAACGGAGGACTGTCTACCCCTGCGCAGGTTAAAAACAGGATGTGCCAGGGCTGCCCTCTCTCCCCAATTCTTTTTGTCCCCACACTGGAGCCTTTCCTAAATGCGATTAGAGCTAACCCCTTGATCCACGGCCTTAGATTTGCAGGAATAGAGCATTAGGTCTCCGCCTATGCAAACAACCTTCCTTTTTACGTAGAACAACTGTTGGTCTCACTCCCTAACATTATAGCTGAATTCAATAACTATGGAAACATCATTAATTTTAAACTGAACTTCAACAAGTTGGTTGGCGTTGAACATAACAGTCCCAATTCAGGAAGTTGAACACCTGAAGACACAATATCAATTTCAATGGTGCACAGACCGCATCAAATACCTCGGGATATGGGTCCCTCGAAATCTACAACAACTGTACCTACTTAAGTTTCAACCCTTACACTCCTGCCTATATTCAGACCTGAAAACATAGACCACGCCTCATTTCTCCTGGACGGGGTGCATCAACTCCATAAAAATGAATGTACTACCCCGAACCTTATAACTGTTCCAGATGATCCTGATCAGATCGGTGTCCGCCTTTTTCCGATCACTAAACTCGGCCTTGATAAAGTTTATATGGAAAGGGCGTAGACGATGTCTACGTCTAAGGCAACTGATGAGACCAACATGCGAGGGGGGCTAGACCTACCAGACATGCTGGGTTATTATAGGGCAACGCATCTCTCTAGAATTGTGACATAGCACGACAAAAAAACTCAGAGGATCTGGAAGAAATTGGAAACGGAAGTATCAGGTGGGAGTATCCCAGGTGTAGTGTGGCTGCCCGATGACACAGCCAGACGATTGAGACGTGAACAACTCTGTTTCATCTGTCCCTCACAATGCTAACCGGTCCAATGTACCCGGTCACAGGCAACCAAGCTTTCCTAACTGGACAAGAGCTGTGGAACCTGGAGTTTCTGGGGAAGGGAAAATACATCCGTCTCTCAGAATGATTAGGGAGGCCACTGGTGATGAAAAACAGGTATTGAAGTAAAAAAAACAAACAAACAATATCTTGGTTGTCAGGATAGAATCCTGAAACTATCTGTGCACAAGAGACGAACCCGGCGATCAGCCTACTGAATAGGTCAATGGGAATGCCCCCTCCTGGAGTTGCTAGCCCTGAACATACGTGTGACGGGGTGGACTAAGGGAGGATTGTGGGACTGGGGCTGCGTACTCCGCCCTATTCCCTCTCATCCTGACCCCACAATCCCTCTGTTACCCCTGTTTTCTCCTTCTCCTCCCCTCTCTCTTTCTCCTCCTTACATTTTCCTACTTATTATTAGCTTTTCCCTTCACCACCCTAGCCCTAATCTGAGCAGACAAGAAAACACAGCATAAGCTAACATCAGAGCTCAGTGGGCCTCTGAGAAAAAACTATACGGACTCTATGTAATGATTCCCTTATATGTCATACTTTAACACGATTAAGAAATAACACCCTGTTTCGAGACACAAATTATGACTATGGCACTGTTGACACCCAATGAGTGTGTGTTTACCTCTGTAACGAAATTAATGTTAATGTCTTGTTTCTCTGATACCCTGTAACTGTATAACTTTCTATCTATTGACAAAAAAAAAACCCCAATAAACAGAGATTGAAAAAAAATATATATATATATATATAAAACATTAAAAACTGTTTAATGCTGAATGAAATAATGGCACCAGAGGACTGCAGATACTATAATCAGTTTAATGAGATGAAGCAGATAAAGTGCCTACAGTGTTTCTTTAAACCTAGCAAAGAGAAGTAGTTAACACCTTAAGCAATAAGAGAATATATCACATTTATTTTTCGAAGTGCACTTGCCATAACTGTGATTGCAAATTAATTAAAAACAGCCAACACCCACACAAACATTTGACTTTTAACATACAGGTTCGTACCAATGAATTCCTTGGCATATTATATATTTGTTTAACTTTGATTGACAGAGGCATGTAATGCATTTGCTGCTTGTTAAATAACACTGAAAGGCACGGAACAAGCACCTGGATTGTTTACAATAGAAGAGGAAGATGGAACTGCGCCAAAAAGTGTTGCACTCTGGGTTGTATCTTAACTACTTTACAGGATACATGTTTCCTTTTCAGCTGTAGCCACACTGAGATTTTATTGAGGTTATGTCTTTACCGATGCATTACCTCTTGGAGGAATCATTGCTTGCCGCCTGCATGAACCTTGGAAAAAGTGTAATTCTGCAATGTCTACAACAAGAAGTTCTTCCCCCTGATGGCACAACAGATGTGTTATCTGGTGCTTGTCAGGCTCTGGCAGAGGCAATTTTGAAGAGTGTGCAACTCCGAATTTTGGAAGATGGCTGTGTCACTCAAAAGGAGATCCTTTCATACGCATGCAGTGAATTGGCAAAGCTCATTAAAACCCAATGTCCTCGTGGTCCAGGTGAGATGTGCCGAATGCAGGGAGAACTGGAATATGCACTCTCAGAAGCCTCAATAGCTAGTAAGCTAGCGGAAGTCATAAACACTCGAGAACTAGTTGAATGTGTATGTAGTCAACATGAGGCTGGATTGAGGACAGTGTTATTGACGGCCTGTCAGTGGTTAGTGAATGATATTAAAGCATTATTCTTGAGTGAGGAAGTATGGAGCAATTTCTTTGGTGATACTCATTCAGTACTTGCAGCATTGTACACCCACCTGAGACCTCTGTTGAACATCATGGTGTACCAGGTGAATATACAATCTAACAAAGCATGGGAATGTACTGGTCCTGTTGGAATTGTATCTCCAGAAAGCCCTAATAGATATAAAGGGGAACTGGATAAAAATGTTCGAAAGCAGAACGAAGTAAGATATGAAAAACAGTTTAAACAGAAATGTCTCAACAGAAAAGAAAAACAAATATTAAATTATAATGACTCGTGTATTGCTCACAGCTCAAGCAAAACAGGATTCCAGACTTTGATTAAGGATTCTGAAACAAAGAAAACATTTTACAAAGAGAAGGTGAAATATACATACCAAAGTCAGGATTACAAAATGGTTATAAACAACAGAAAAACACAGACCAGCTATATAATTGGGCTGATGAACACTGAAGTGGAACAAGCTTGTGGTTCCACGGTTTTAAAGCTGTGGTGTGCATTGATCAATACTAATGTATTTGCGTGCAATGATTTGTATGATGAGAAAGCTTGTTATCTTATAACATTTGGTAGGTATCCAGTTGGCCCATTGGAGTTGTTGAGTTCAGTCAATTGTAATGACAGTGCTTTTAAAGCTGATATAACTCTACGCGAAATCAGTTGTCCAATCTGGCCTAAGGACAAATCCGTGATCAAAAGGTGGTTCCCTGACCCTAGATCTCAGGCCATAGAAGAGATTGGAGATTGGGGAAACCAATGTCTGCAAATATGGGCAATTGGTTCTAAAAAAATTGAAAAAAGGTACCCCAAAACAATAAGTGTTAGATCAGTAGAAATGAGAAACAGATATGCAAAAGATGATGACAGTAATCGCATCATGTATCCGAAGAAGACCACTGGCTGTTTTTGTTTTTTCAAACACAAACAAAATGATGAAATCTCACATAGCACTTAGGGTTATTCAGTGACTGCTCAATTTACAATTTTTTTGTTCTCTTTCATTTGCAGCTTTTTTTGTATCGCTATTTGGTAAATATAAAGAATTTTAAGCAAATTGTACATAGGAAAATTTCCTGAATTTGATGAGATTTAGCACTTCATAAAAATAATATATATGTATATCAAAAATGAATTTGAAAATTTTAATGTATTCTGACTGACTCAGTTATATTTAAATGTAATTTCCTTAGAGGTTCTTTCACCATGTTTATGTAAAAAAGAAAACGTGAGAAACTAAGTAAATGTATTCATGCAAATTCTGCTGGCACATATATTCTTCCTGATAGTGCTACTGTTTACATTATTCCTCTGTTTAGAGGAATTTTCCTCACTGCTTGACAATATGCCTGATGAGCTGGGAACCAGCAAGAAAGGGAGAAGCCGTCCAAGGCAGTTTTGCCTCTGGGGCCCATGGAATCAGGCTTTCAATTGTTATAACTGTACACTATGCTACACATTTTCTGATAAATAACTGGTTTTAGAGGAATACTATAATGAAATATATATATACATATATATCTTACAAAATCCAGCGCACTACCTCATTCACTAAACAGTGACTTCAAGTTTTACAGAAAGTAATAGTTTTACTTAAAAACACCTCACCTAGGCGGAAGGTACTTCATCCTGGGACTCTCTGCAGGTCAAGGCTAATTAGGTTCCAGGAATGAGGCACCTGTGACAGGAAGGGGTGCAATCACAAGGTGTTGGCCTGGACTCCCATATACATAAATGAAACCAAGCTCAAAACAACTCAACACACAGGCATTAACCCCTTAAGGACTGAGCCAAATGTACACGTTGTGAACAAAACAAAATGTAAACAAAACCTGGCATTTGTGCTACATGTCTGTCCAACTGTAATTCACCTCTTTCATAGTAAATGCACCCACCCTTATTATATATCACTTTATTCAGGGTAAACAGGGCTTTCATTTAATATCAAATATTTAGCTATGAAACATAATTTAATATGAAAAAAATGGGAGAAAATAAGATTTATTTAGATTTTTTTAGTTCTACATGACATTTTAACGGTCAATGTCATAATACTGTTTGCTTTTACTGCAATAAAATACACATATTTATATTCAGTAAAGTCTCACGTGTAAGACAGTACCCCCTATGTACAGGTTTTATGGCATTTTGGGAAGTTACAGGGTCAAATATAGCACGCTACATTTGAAATTGAAATTTGCCAGATTGGTTACGTTGCCTTTGAGACTGTATAGTAGCCCAGGAATGAAATTTACACCCACAATGGCATACCATTTGCAATAGTAGACAACCCAAGGTATTGCAAATGGGGTATGTCCAGTCTTTTTTAGTAGCCATTTAGTCACAAACACTGGCCAAAGTTAGCGTTAGTATTTGTTTGTGTGTGAAAAATGCACAAAACGCCAATTTTGGCCAGTGTTTGTGACTAAGTGGCTACTAAAAAAGACTGGACATACCCCGTTTGCAATACCTTGGGTTGTCTACTATTGCAAATGGTATGCCATCATAGGGGTAATTTTCATTCTCGGGCTACCATAGGGTCTCAAAGGCACCATAACCAATCTGGCGAATTTTAATGTGAAAAAAATGAAACGCAAGCCTTCTATTTGACGCTGTAACTTTTGAAAACACCATAAAACCTGTACATGAGGGGTACTGTTGTACTCGGGAGACTTCGGTGAACACAAATATTTGTGTTTCAAAACAGTAAAAAGTATCACAGCAATAATATCGTCCGTGTAAGTGCTGTTTGTGCATGAAAAATGCAAAAAAGTCACTTTTACTGGTGATATCATCATTGTAATACATTTTACTGTTTTGAAACACTAATATTTGTGTTCAGCGAAGTCTCCCGAGTAGAACAGTACCCCCCATGTACAGGTTTTATGGTGTCTTGGAAAGTTATAGGGTTAAATATAGTGCTAGTAAATTAAATTCCCTTTACTTTCGGCATGGGTTGTCAGGCAGGTCCCGCTAATTGCAATTAATTAAGATACCTAATTATGTAAAAATATTACATAAATATATATGTAGAATTAATATATGTATATATATACGTATGTGAATCTATATGTGTATATATATATAATTTGTAAAAAATATTTTTATTTATATATAGGTATATATATAGTGATATATACGTATATATTTATGTATGTAGATATATATATTATTTTGTTCTACGTGTATTTTGATATAAATATATATATATATTAATATCACAATACAGTTAGAACAAAATAACACACATCTATATATTTTTTAATTATTTATTTTTAATTATTTTTTAAATTTAGTTTTTTAACGTATTTACATATTTAATTTTTTTATATTATATATAAATATACATAACAATAATTATATATATATTTAATCAGTAACAGTCTACGTGTAATTTGATATTAATATATATAATTATATATATATTAATAGTAAAATACACCTAGACAGTGTATGTGTGTGTATGTATATGTGTATATATATACTTAGATCATATATATATAATATATATGATCTAAGTATATATATATATATTTTTTTACACTTTACTTTTTAATTCATTTATTTTAATTTCATTTCCTGCCAGCAGGGGGACCACCTGTCATTACAGGCAGCCCCCCTGCTGGCAATGCAGGAGGCAGCTACCCCTGGCCATGTGATTGTGGGGTCCTCGCAAGGACCTCACTCTCACATGGCCGGGGGGCACCGGAGGAAGAGGATCTACCGCAGGGGGGCTCCCTGGGAGCCCCCCCCACCGCGATCGCCGGCGTAGGACCGCCGGCGACCGGGTAAGTAAGAAAAGACCGGAGGGCGTACAATTACGCCCGGCAGCGTTTAGAGCCGCCTAAAATAGGGCGTAATTGTACGCCCTCCGGTCTTAAGGGGTTAAAGGGACAATATAGTCACCAGAACAAGCTGATTGAATTTGTTCTGGTGAGTAGAATCATTACCTTCAGGCTTTTTGCTGTAAACACTGTCTTTTCAGAGAAAATGCAGTGTTTACATTACAGCCTAGTGATAACTTAACTGGCCACTCCTTAGATGGCTGTTAGAGATCCTTCCTGGGTCATGGCTGCCTAAAATGCATCCAAACATTCAGTATCTCCTCCCTCTGCATGCAGACACTGAACTTTCTTCATAGAGAATTATTGATTCAATTCACCTCTATGAGGAGATGCTGATTGGCAAGGGCTGTGTTTGAATCATGCTGGCACTGCCCCTGATCTGACTCTTTGTCAGTCTCAGTCACTCCTATGGGGAAGCACTGTGATTAGCTCAGGCCACCACTTCTAATGATGTCAGCAAACTGCTTGTTTTTCTGAGGCAAACACCCTGCAGAGTTACAGCGTCAGGCTTGAATACAGTAAGATTTTTACTTTATTTATGGAGGCATGAGGGGCCCAGGGGACTAGGTGGTGGTTTTAACACTATAGGGTCAGATATACATGTTTGTTTTCCTGACCCTATAGTGATCCTTTAATGTCCAAACATTTGGCAACAAAAGTGAGTACACCCCTAAGTGGAAATGTCCAAATTGGGCCCAAAGCGTCAATATTTTGTGTGTCCACCATTATTTTCCAGCACTGCCTTAAACCCCAGTAAAGGGGAAAAAATAGTGGGTCAATTAATCTAAATTGATTCAATAGAACCTGTCATTAAATAAATTAAATAAATGAAATAAATCATCCCCAAGCACATTAAAAACATCATATATATATATCAATGTACAGGTTAGAGATATTCACTTACATTACTTCTGACCCAGCTATGCCACGTCCTCAGTTATGCTTAGAGAGCAGAAGGATCATGGAGGTGGTCTCTTCTGCTCTCCCTTGTCAGTTAATTCTTCGGCTTAAAGTCTGTGCCGAAGAAGTGACTGACAGGTGGGAGAAAGATTTGTTTGTAAACAGATTTTTCTCACACTCTATACATTTGTTTTCAAACCTGCTAGCACAATGTAGAGATGACAATATACACTCTTCCAAAAGAGCATAAGTTGTAGATACTTTAAGGAAAACAGAGAACTAAAAAAATATATATACATTATTTAAATTAGAATCTTCCTTTACATAGTGGACTCACTAGTTTCAAAATGGAAGATAGCTGGTAACAGGTAGGTAATGCATCTAGAGGTAGATTTTCTGGGAACATCAAACATAATACATACTGCATGTAATGAATCAAACATTGAGATGCTTACATTTAGAGAGATTTTGTTTTCCTACTGAGATTCACTTCTGATATATAACTAACACATTCAGGGTGGAATGTTCTTTTATGGTATTACTTTGTGTCATTTTGTTTTATATAAAAACATTTTATTTTTGCCTTAAGGGTTTATACAAACAATTTCAATTATACCAACCAGTTAATCAGGTTTAATGGATTTCTATTTCTTCCTGTTTCTGTTCTAAGTACATTTTTTCAACAAGTAGTTCTTTCTTCTCCCTTTGGAGGTTTACACCAAATAAATTAAAGGATCACTCGAACATTACAAATAGACGAGTCAGGGGAGCTTACATCTAATGGCCATTGGCGTGGTACAAAAAAAAAAAACACAATTTGTTTAAATATGCTCAAGAAACTCTTTTCTTTGGTTTTTAATAAATACTATTGGAAATTCTGCATATTTTGTGGGAGTCATCCCTTAAAGGGTTACCCGAAGTTTGCAAAACCTGACTTCATTTTATGCTCCACCTGGAAAAAAACCTAGCTTATTTGGATTCGCATCACAATAATGAAATATTGGGGATATGGGTCAAGGTGCAGCGATTACCAAGCTCCACTAGTCACAATGCTTGTTAGAAAGAAGCAAAACTGTCACTTAAGGACCACAGCGATTTTGAGATGCACCAGTTTGGGATCAGGGTCTTTTTGCCATGCGTTCATTCTACCACAATTTGAGTCTTTCTGTTTAAGTGCACACGTACATATTAAATATAATTTTTTAAAGGACAAATAGAGCTTTTTTTTGATACTCTATATGTATACATAACACAGTGTTAAATAT